TTTTTTTTTTTTTTATTGCCGAGTAGGATTTTCCATAAAAATATCGCGTGTAATTTCAAAGTGATTTACCGGTCGCACTGAGAAACATGAAAAATTCGTCTTTTGTGCTGCAGGAGTTTGGCAGAACTTAGTAAAAAACCTGATGGACCAGTGATGAATTTCAACGCCTTGAGACTGCTTGGGACAAAATGAGGACAGATCAGCATCAAACTCCATCTCAACCGTCAATTTTTGATGTTTTAGCGGAAGAAAGTTTTGCAAGCACGCTGAAACCTGCAGTAAAATGTTTCGTCTCGGTAAGGGTCTTCATCTAATTCTTTTCACTCATGTTCAGGCTTCTTAATTGAGTGCAACATAGGCTTACGGTTCAGAACATTTGCTCTTACTTTACTGGTAATGAGGGAATCAGGATTCAAAATGAACTGATTAAATAAAACCTCTTTACCTCTGTTCTTTTCGTCCATCGGCACGTTGCGAAAGAGTGCGTTTGGGTCAGCTTTAATACTCATTCTTAAAAAAAAAAAAGGAAAAGTACTAAAAGATACTTCAATTTTAATACACTTGAATATTATCAGTTCCTTTCCACACGGTATCCAGCGACCTTCTCAAAGGCTTTGAAATGGTTTGACGAAATATACTTGTTTTTTGACGTTGGATTACAGAGCTACTTTTTGAAACACTACAGTAAGCATATGACTTTTGTTTTCCGTTCACCTTTTTCGTCATTATGCTCTTCGATTATTTGTAATGTAATTGATGGTCATATATTGTGGTTTAAATAATTCATTTAATTCAACAACGTGTTTTTCAGATGCTTCATTTTCGGAAAACTTCTACGGTTTCAAACGAATTCCGCGGTCGTCTGGCTATGGACCTTATAATGGTTTTTCTAAACTCCACTCAATATTTTTTTTAGTAATTTTCTGTGTTATTCAGATTGGGTCGAGGTAGTGGCTTTTCTCAAACTAGTAAAGAGTCAGTTTTTAGCAGCATATTTGGCTCATTGTTTGAATGCAAAATAGTTCTTTTTATCGAAATCATAAATCTCTTGAACTTTCTATATATACTCTTTACTTTAGGCTGGACTTCCATATTTGCAAGCAAAACTTGAAAGGTTACATAAACGGTTTTTATTTTTTATTCAGAACCTCCCGAAACAACAGGTATTTGATTTGTCACCTGAATTCAGCTTTTTATTTAATGCATTCTTTTTGCTTGCTTCTGTAATAACATTAACACTGTTGTATCGTTTGTCCTCATCGTTTCGTTATCTGCACCGAGGGTTGTCTTTTCATTGAATTGTGAGTCTTTTCATGCAGTTTTGAGAAATGCAGATTACAGGTTGAGCCACTGTGGGTTTGGCTGGCACGCTTACTTTTCCCTGCTCTTTCAGTTTTGAGATGGATTCTTAATTTGTGGAGCTTTGTCCTCCAGTTTATGTACATAACTTCTAAAAGTTCTGTACATTCGCCAATGTTACTGTTAAGCAATGTTAAACTTGAAAATTTAACATCGAGGGACAGAGCCCTGTTTGCAAGCAAAGTCTCAGGAGCTTCTAGGTTTGTGTTCTTTGTCTTCTTGAATGTTTTTTGAAGTTTAATAATTAAGAAGCTGCACACCTCACACGTCTAATAAATAGGTACGAGGAGGTAAAGTTTAAAACTAAATAGGAAAATAAAATTGTTGGCGTGAACGTGGGGCTTTATGCTTGTATTGCAGTCATTTCCTAGCCTTGTTCAGGGAGAGTTGAGTTGAGGTATGAAGGAAAGGACCAGTGGAGGTCTTTGTCTGCAAATGATACTGCTTTTGTTTCTAGATACACTCTTTTACGATTGTTGTCTGCAGTGCCTCGAGTTGGTAGTCGAATTTTTGGATATTTTTTATTCTTTGTACAGTTCTTGGATATGTTTTATAACGATGACTTTGGCGCACATATTCGTAATTTAACTAGCGACGTGTCGAAGCGCATTCCGCCAGCACCACATATGGTATGCTTGATGTTGATTATCTGGGTTTTTTCACTATTATGCAAACACTGGGTTTAGGTTCTTGGGGAAACTTTTGTTCATACGCTGGATAAGAGTAGCTGTCCTTTGTGTCTGCAACGGAGAACTGATGATACGGTTAGTAAAGTGAAGTTTTATTTACGGAATTAGAATGCTGCAGAAAAGTCATATACTTCTTCTTTGAGATTTTATACGATTTTGTTTCAGATTGCTAAGGGTTGTCGATATTCGTTGAGCATTCTTTTTTTTTCTTTTATAGTTCTTCATTGACTTTCGTTACTTAGGTGTAATGTATTGACTTCATTAATTGGCTTCTGTATCAAAATGTTTTCAGGTTCTTAGTGTTTCTGGATACGTCTTTTGCCATAAATGCATCAAGGAGTACGTTTCAAGAGAGAAAAAATGCCCAGTTACAGGCCTCCCAGCAAATATGCGTCACCTTATTCAGCTATACTCATTGTTTGATAATTCAAATTGATATTTAGTTTAGATTGTAGTTTGTTTTGCAAGTAATAAATAATTTTTTGGCTATTTATGGTCAGCCTTACATAATCAAACTGATGTTATGCTTTTGGCTGTTTGATATTGAAACTAAAGAGTTTATTAGCTCTTAGTGGTTGCTAAGGTTGAATCTTTCTTTCACCAATTTCCTTCTGTGGATTAAATTGGTATCTGATAGAAGAAAGTCAAGAAAATTAATATTTGTTAGGCCTCTGATGTTTTCAGGGGGTTGTTATTAGTGCCAATTCTTCACGTCCAGTTTTATTGTCTCCTACTGCCTTTTGGGTACAAGTGCGTCTAGCGTGTCGTGAAGTGCGTACGACAGGTCAAGTTCGAAGATGAAAATTCTGGTACTCCTTTCCGGAATTGAGAAGTTTGATATGGTTTTAATGCGAGTTTAGATTGGCTGTAAGGTATTGGTATCACGTCGTGGAGCGTGTCAGGACGTGTATCAGAGATCATTTGATCTGTTCATGATACTTTGTTTTGTCACTCAGTTTTTCATGACGCCTGGATGGGATTCATTGCTGTTTTAAGTTTTTGAGGTTTCAGGGTTGAACAATAGTTGTTTGAAAAGTGAGTAATTGTGTTCTCTCGAAGAGGGTTTGTCAGTAATTTTTCAAATGACATCATTTCCTGCCATTTTATCAGTCCGAGAACTGAAGAGTTGTTTTGTCTTCTGTGACAGCGGTCAATTCCCAGACTGTTCGGAGCGAATATCATCGGTGATCAAGCCAAGCTTACTTCGACATTAATATAAATGGATCTTGAAGTGTCATATGTTTTTCTCGCAGTTCCACGTGTATTTTTAGGCACTTTTTCGTAGCGATCTTGGGATATACGGCCTGAAATCGTTGGCTAAGTCGAAAACAGCGTTGGTTCGTCTTTTGTCGAGAAACCCACATTTGTTCTGCTATTCTGCAACCCAAACTGTGTATATTGATCGGATTTTTGCAGAGTTATTGGGCTTTTCAAATGGCGAACAGGCAAGTAATGTTTCTTTTGAAGTAAGAATCTTAAACCTGTTTTTTTCGTCAGGAACAGTTTGCATTCCCGCAAATAAATTATAAAGCTGGTACTTTTGACTGAATGTACTGAAAATTTTTTTGTGGTGTTTGTTTCCTGAAAATTTTTTTAATCCTGATTTTTACTGTGTGTATTGGTAAGGTAATTTTGGAAGAGGTGACAGACGCTACTGAATGCTCTTCGGCATACATCTCCCCAAAAACATACAAAGATTGGGCAATACTTGTTAGTCTCTATATTGACTTTACTTTTTATACACTTCACGAGGAACCTATCCGTAGATTCTTGCGGTGCAAGATATTTTTGGCGTTTACCACTTTCAAATAGTGTTTTTCACCGCATAATTTACATTTACACTTTGGTTGTGTTAAGAAAATTTTCTTATTAAGTTTAGAGTAGTTACGCAGAAGTGGTTGAGAGACAGTTGCTAAATCAGTTACAAGTTGTAGCGGAAGGTGTTGAATATCCGTTATTTATAAACGAAAAAATTGTATGTTACTTTACTGTCGGTATGTTTTTTTTGCTTCCAGGATTTGTATTAACCATTGAAAATTAAAGCGTTTTATCAGGCAATTTTATTCTGGTTTTAGATCGACTAGTTTCTCAATCATCAAGGTCGTACGGTCTTCTGGTTCGAGATACTAACCTGTTCGTTGCTGCTGATACATATTCCGTACAGAAATTTTCTGGAGAACCATTAGAGCCTCAAATTAGCGTGCGATCAGTTGTCAAAGATATTTCTTTAAAATTCCTGTCCAATGCGAGAGCTTCGTTGTTTCCTTTCCTGGAGGAATATCAGAGGAACGATCAAGGCTCTTCTGAAGAGTATAGTTTAAGGGTTCTTCCGCAGAATGTGTTTGACATTAGTAGGATTAAGCATCTTCATCCTACAGCACTTTTTACGGTTATTAAAGGTTGGTAAAGAAGCTGTTTTCATTAGTTATTTATTTACACCCGCTTTTGGAATTCCACCAGTTATTGCTGTTAGCGCTACCACATCTTTAGTATTTGTGGTTGAACACAGTGATTTCTGTTCTGACGCTGGATTACGAAGTCAGTAAACAAATATTTGTTTTTTGAAGTCCTCTTCAAAAATGTTTCATTACCAGGGTTCGGAAGTCATCGAAATAATTTTTTTGTGGTATTATGAAATTTCTACCATTTCAAAGCACTATTTTGACATGATATTTGGTGCAGTTGCTAACTGGCCACTCTTTAAACCACTCATAATCACTAATACAGTTCTGACTTTCCAAGTACTCTTTAAAATGCTTACACTGGAAGTATTCAAAGCGATCAATTCATTTCAGGGAAAAGTTATAGGTCAATTCCTTCTATAGTATCTCTGAGAAATAACAGTAATGATAGTATCAGATATGCTGTTCTGTTCCAGCTCTCTCCTACTGATCAACATTTCAAAGATTTATATAAGGTTTTAAAGGTTAGCTGCATTTTTAAAAATGTCTCTTTCTTGCACTGATTACTTTTTGATTTTAGATAGCGACAGAAAAGCTTTTAGAGCTGTTTTAATCTACACCTTAAGTTCTTTAAATGAAGCGGTTTAGTATTTTTTCATCAATTGGGATTTCAAAATCCTAGGCGTCAGTAAGTGTGTATTTAGATATCTAACTTGATAACAATAAAAAAGGCTCCTTTTTATTTTTCAATTTAAGTTGATTTTGGTACTGTGACTTCTCAGTATACTTCATTTCCTCATGCCGTTGCGCAAATGAAAAGTACGCATTACTTAATTTCAACATTCTGTTTTATCAATGGCTGTGGTAGAAATAAAAGGAAGCAAAGGGTTTATTTTTCAGTCTTACCAAACTTATTGTCTCTTGTCTCCTTCTTTGCGTGACGAAATCTTCGATGATTTCAAGTGGTTAACTTGTTCTGCGGCCTCCTCTTCAGTGTTTCGAAGACTCGATAAAGTTTTGTGTTGTACAACGCTTACTGGTTATTATTCCTCTTTGCTTTTAAAACTGCTATTTAATTTAGATGAGTATTGCAGAATGCTGTATTTACTTGCAAAATTTTAATGTAGATTTTTCTGTCTTAGGTGACAAGAGCATTTATCGTAACTCAGTCGAGAAGTATCTTCTGAAATCATGTCATTACTTTCCTATCATTTTGGACGCGAAGGGTTTCTCAGTGGACATTAAAATAGGTTTTGTTTTTATTTCTATAATATTATCTTTGGTAGATCTCTAATTTAACTTTACAGCCTAGCAGTATTTTTAATACTGCTTAAGAAGTTCAAATTTTTACTATTATTCTGAAGCAATGATTGATTTCTAAGAAATTCCTAATGCGAATTTTCAGGTGGTATACCTCGTGCATTTCACATTGTACCATGTTCTTCTGATGAAGATTCAAAATCTGTTTGCTACATTTTTGATGGTGAATGTCCACCTGAAATTGAAATGGTTCACTCACTTTAGTTTTATATTTTTTTAAGTCTGCATCGGCCATTGATTTCTCCTTAATGTGCACATTTTGCTTTATTTTTATTTCAAATCTGAACCACCTGGGCCAAACCTTTGCATACTTATAAGTATGCTATTTCTTTAAGTTCATCTTTGAAGCCATCGTGGTTTTTCTTCCTTCATCATTCTTCTTCTAGATATTTGTAGCTGCAGACGATGAAGCCGGTAAAATTGCTGCAGCAAGGTCAATGGATACAGTACTGAGAGAGGACATAGGACAAATTGCGCAGTTTAATTTAGGAAACCATTATATTGACGTCATGTAATAACTCCTTTTTGTTACTGTAAATATCGTATTAAGAAGTTTTCTCCCAGTAATCTCTAGTTCTTAGTGTCCTAAATTAGGTCCCAAATGAAGTGCATTGCCGATTGTGCTGAACTAATCCAGCATTTCGTTAGAAATCCTTATGATCTCTCACCACATCTGCTTTTAAAAGGACCAAAATTGAGCGGTAAATCTGTAGTAACTAAAAAGCTTGCTACGTATCTCCTAGCTTTACCTGCTTCTATTTATTCGGTCAGCGTTGACTGCGTTAACTGGCAAGGTTAGTAAAATTGTAGTCAAGCTTGTGAGTAGTTTTTATCAAGCGGTTTTGTGATTATTCACTGAAATAAGTCAGCTGTTTCAGGCAGAAGTACAGGTTTTCTAAGAAAACAGCTATGCGATATATGTGCTCATTTGGTTTCTCGACGTCCCAGCTTTTTGATTCTGGAGAATTGTGAATCCTTTGTTTCTTCGAAGGGTGAAAGGAGTTCGGACTTGGTTGCAAAGCAGGTTTTTTCTAGTATGTTCTTTGTCAATTCTGGGGGTGGAGGCTAAATTGGCTTTTGATTTGCCTGAAATTGGAGGAGAAAATGATTACCAAAAATAGCAGAATTTATTTTTTCTTCGCAGCTGTTGTTCTTACCCCCATTGTAATCAAGCACTTGTTTATTTGGTTTTCAGTTATAAAGCGTGTAGTGAAGGAGTATTATATATCGACAGTCCTAACCGTTGATGGTTCTTACACCTTTTTGGAAACGGCTGTCACACCAGAAGGAAAACGATTTTTTTCGAAGAAATACTGCATTCCTGGCTTACATTTGGTAAGTTCTTGGTTTTTAAGGACAAGAGTTTGCATTAATGTTCATCCTCTCTTAACTTATATTCATCACTGTAGCTTTTTATCATAAACATCAAAGTTTTCAACCTGATTTACTCTCCTTTTTTTCCTTACTCTTAATATTAAGCTTTGCTAACTTTTTTTTTCATTCATGACACTTTAAAAACTGTATCAATTTTATTTGAAGTGATGGAAATACAAAAAAGAATGAAAAACATTTACATTTCAAAAATTTTGAACGGTTTGGCAAGACTATAAGTTCCGTCAATGTGATACCGCCTGGTTTGACTTCCATCTGATAACTGCATGGTGATTCTGATTTCTTTTTGAAGCCAAGATGATTCGTCACGAAAAACAAACCAATACCTTCCAGGTTTAGTACATTCAACAGAGCCACTTTCGTGTTTATTTTTCGCAGCCATTTTAAAAAAAGGATAAATCATTTCCAACTCTCCTATATTAACCTCTTTTTCTTGCTTTGATCCATTGATAATCATGTTACCTTGTGGAATGACATCAAATGGCTGAAAAACAGATGGAAACTTTAAATTTCTTCTGAAGTTTCTCCCAGTTGGTTTTCTCTCCCATTATTATACCGTATAACTATCAAGTGAGGCAGAAGTTCCAAGCTTTAAATTTCTAAGTGATCCAGACATCACATTGGGACTGCATAGTGGGATACTGGTGTTTAGGTGTAGTTTTCCGTATAACAATGCTGTTAATTCAGCGTCTATCTTTTAAGCATTACTTACTTGATATTTTTTTAGAAAGTGCCAGAAGAGGCAAGAAAAAGTAACTACAAAATTTTTTTATGTGGGTAATGAGTTATTACCAGCTTAATTCTAAGGCGCTGTAACTTGTCGAAAAAACTAGATTGAAGAGAACTGGAGTGAAATAGACTACAAATTAATTCCAACACTTTCGCGACAACAATAATTTACTCGCATCAAATGGAAAACTTTAGAGCAAACTTTGCAAATTAATCTTAGATTATGCATGAAGTTGATCACTGCTAGAAACTGCCATTATTGAACCATTGTTTACTAATGGTTGCAGACACGCATGCTTGAAGAAAAAGTTTCCAAGTTTGTGTATTGTCAAAAATTGACTTCTGCTTGCATTCAAAGTATAGAGGTTTTGATTTTTGCGCCACAAGAATACATATTTTCGCTTCAGGTCAATAAAGTCTTACTGGAGTACGTGACTTTTATTTTATTAAAACTAGAGAATTTTAAGTGGTGTTGCGGGATCGTAGCTCACGCTCTGAAACACATTTCTTGTACCTGACAAATCGCCGGTAACAAGGCAGTGGTCATTACGTGTCTCACATAGCGCAAATTTTTGTGGAATTCCGGCAGAAGGTGCATTGGAGAGCTATTACCATGGGGTTGATCAGTTACTAAAATACCGCCTATTACAGGAGACAAACACTGCCAAACAGGCTTTCAGGTAGTCCGAAAAGCCACTAAGTTTTTTGGGATGTTACCGGGCATGTCGAACTCTGCCTCTCTTCTGTAGCCTACAGTATTTTTGTCGCTTACCAAATGTTATCTAAGTGCGTGTTCCAGCAAGCTGGTTCAAGTAACTGCTTGCTGTATAGTTGCTTTAAAATTTTGGTTATACTGATCTTATATAAAGCAGAATTAAATTGACGGAAACCACATTACCTCATAGAAGACTCCAAAAAATGCTTCGCATTCTGTGGTGTAATACCATGAAATGACTTTCCCTGCATCTGTGACATCTATATGGAATTGCTTTGCCTTTTTTCGGGATATATGAAAACTTTCAAGTGAACTTAAAAATTCAAGGTCGACTTGGTCGTTACTAAAGTCTGGTTTTTCGGCCGGCAGACAAATTATGCTCTGAATTTTCCTCTTTATAACAGTCAGGAATTAATATTTGTTGAAATGTATTCTACAGTTACGGCAATTCAAAGTAAACCTCATTTTTGCCTCCAAGAGTTGCCGGTATATTTCTTATATTGATTTCCTTCTGCAACGTTGATAAAAAGTTTGAGTCGTGTAGACGGAACCTTTCACTAAAGCCGGCAGGCATAATTGCTCGAGCGATTTTGTAGGGGACGTGGATCCATTTTGCAATATTTACCATTTCAATAGGGAAGACCTGCAGTTGAAAGATCAATTCTTACGCTCTGTCAAGGAGACTTCTAGCAGCTTTTTAAAAATTTACCATTTCTGGATAGTTTTCGTAATGAAATAGCTGTGTGTAATAAGTCAGTGCTCCGTTGCTGACAAACAACATAGTGAAGGGGTTAATTTCGTAACCTGTCATGTCGACAATGTGCCGCACTCCACTTAGCCTGCCTGTCTTTTCTTCCTAAGCTTTTTGAGAAAATTTAATCAACCGGTTAGTAAGTATTATTTTTTGCCTGATATATCATAAGCTTTTTTAATATGAGGTTTTCTTTTCTTTTTTGAAATTAATAGATATACCTGTGCATTGACTAATCGCAATATGTGTTCAAATTGGATAAATTGGCATCTAATTGACTGGGAACTAGGGATACTCCTTGATAAAGCCTGCAAGAAGGAAAAAAAGGTAATTGTAGAGGCGTGTGGTTGATAATTAGGCTAGTCTGCTAATATAATTGTTGGGTAAGGTAATTTTTCTCTTTCAATTTTAAAATGTAGAATCTTAAAAGTAAATTTAGACGTCTGGTTACGAGATGCCTTCGTTTGGGTATCACAACACGGTTAAGCCTTGTTAATGAAAGTTTAATATCGTTTTTTCCTTTTCTGGCTCAAGCAAGAGATATCGGTTGGGCAACACTGTCTTTTACTTGTTTGCATTTTGTTATTTTTGCGATAAAGTGGCAATTCGCCTTTCTGTGCTTCTTTAAGTATTACATAGAGCTGAACTTTCAAAGAGTTTTTTTTAATTTAAAATTCATATTTACTTTTTGAGTACCATTTTGTTGGTTTTAAACTAACTTCAACGTTGATGGTTGCGTACTCCGCATACCACAGTAAGCGATTACTGCTGTCGGTGAGATTTTGAACTTTCCCCATTGGCAACAGCTTTTTAGCGAAAACGGGGTTATCCTCAAAAGGTAGATGAGGAAGACTGTCCTAAAGCATCTTAACTTTTAGCGGATTTTTGAGTGCAAAAAATTGCACTTTCCCAGTTCACTGAGTGAAACATGTAGAAAAAGGCAGAAAGCGAAGAAAAAATAAATTTATGTACAAAAACTGTTATCGGAGGTGCTTTAAAATAAGAACTGATATTCAAGTAGTTTAGGACTTCCTGAAGCTAGTTATGTAGAGTGTCTGTTAAGCAGTTAGAAAGTTGTGTGTTGTTCAGATTTCTTAGAGGTAGAGATTTCATATTTTTCTTCGTTTTACATAACCGCAGTATATTAAGTAATGAGGGTTTGTAGAAAAATAGTTGAAAGGTGGTAACCAGATAGCCGCTTGAAAGCTGCATCAGCATTTTTTATTATTTTGCGCTGGTTTGCTTAGTGGACCCTGAGGTACAGTTAAATATTTTCATATTTAATTTAGGTTCTGAATTACTAACCAGTTTCATGGCTTTCCTTATTTTCAAATGATTGTTGAGAGCCTTCGCCGCTGCATCGACGACTTCAGATTGTTTCTTATGCATTCTTTCGGCATTAAGAATAAATCTGTAGATATTGAAGTCGGTGTCGAACTAAAATTTGTTGACACTCTCTGCAGGTTATGTAATGTCATTCTGAAGTTGTGAAACATTTGTCTGTTTCTGAACCCGCTTCTGTTTTAAAAGATCTTTATTTGTTTTGTTTTCTTACTGGTAAAAAATTTATAGCGGTTTTAACAGAACTGTAATTTTTTAGAAAGTTTTAGTTTGATTTTTTTTTAAAAGTGGGAAGTAAAAAAATTTAGTACTTACATTTGGATGGATTGGTTGTGTTATTTTTAGCCGTACCTCACTCACTAGTTTTTTGGACTGAACGCTCAAAGGTTCCCCAAAGTTTGTAGTGATTCTTTTCATTGCAGCGGGGTCTCTGAAATGAAAAAAATTTTTTTGCCAGACATGGCAAATGATTACAAGAGAAGTTAATTTTAATTGTAAGCTTGAACATAATTTATACACTGTAAATGAGAAACAGAAGATTAAATGAAACTAATATATCATTGGAACAAGCAAAAAATAAATCTATTTGAGACTTATCACAGTGGTTTATTCAATTGTGTGTAAAATAGGCTTCCTTTCAATTGTTGTTCACTGATTGTTCAAAGATAACAATAAAATATGAAAGCAACAGTTTCGACGATAGAAATATTTGATAAGATATGTTTAACGACATGTCTGAACACATTTGCTAGTCGGAAGTCAAAATTATTCTTCTGTCTTACCTGTTCATATCGTTGAACAAAATTTTTTAGTGAATTTAAGTTGTTTTACTAAGATCTGCATAGTTATAAGAGATAAAGTGGAAATTAGAAACTGTTGATGGAACTGAATCACAAGACAGTGCAGAAGCAGATCAGTTGATACTTGAAATTGAAAATTAGGTTGTTTAAATGCTTTTTGAACGGGACTGTGAATTTAAGGCTGTCATATAAGGTGACGTCTGTTTCGTTCTCATGTTTCGCCATTAATTTGCATTTCGTTCGCTATTCAACTATAGTAATGGAACTGTACAGTGTGAGCATTTTTTGAGGCATTTTATTATTAAGCTTCTTCTAAGTTTGTAAAACAATTCAAATCACAAATTTAGTGTTTGTATGGCCTCGAATGGTGGGAGTTAAAGTAAAATAATTGGAATCTGGATTGATTGTCCCGTATCGGTTTATTGATTGCCTGCCTGAGCATAACAAAAAGATCAGATTTTTTTTCA